ATGTGCAACAATTCAGCCTATTTCCCTTCCATCTGCAAACACAATTTTTGGAACAACAGGAACACAGTCCATCAATCATGAGGCACACACTGACAGTAAATTATTACCCCATCCAGTGGAGAATTGAGGCAAATTGCTGGGCAGCCTGGAAGTAGTGCCCTCCACCCTAGATTTGTATGACATTAAAACAAGGGATTTATTTCCCATCTGACAATCTGACACTTTTATGTGCAATAAAGAACCCTATGAATACATTTAGGAGAAAAAGAATAGTGTTCAGTATCTACTGGAAGTAAAATTACTGGATTTCTACCACTTGGACAGCAGTAAGCAGGATAACAAATCTCTGAGCACTCTGTGATAAATAAAAATAATGAAATAGAGAATGTATGCTAATCTAGCCTGTATGAAAATTTGATTCAAAGTATTAGTCATTAGTTATATTTATTTAGACTAAATTTAGACTAAATGCCACCGTGGATATTCAAAAAGAGCATGTAACCATGGTGACATATATTTTTAATGGTAGGAAAAAAGTTTGTTTCTTCAATGTTTCCTAATGCTTTATACAGCCAATTGTAATCTTTTTTGTTCGTCAGCTCATATTTGCAGATAGATTCCACCTGTTATTTATAACAGCTGTGCTAGTGGGAAGTTTTTTCTTCCTGTGCATAAGAATACAAAACATGTGCCCTTGTGAACTGCTTGGAGTTGCTCGCAGTTCTGCTGCAAGGGAGCAGCAGTGTTTGTCAGGACTGTGAAATGCCAGCCTTGCTAGCATGCTGAGGAGAGATGTCATGCTATCCTGTGCCAATGACCAGCTCAAAAAGGCTGCATTTTTCTCTCGGACTTACTTTCAGCTTGCACCTGTAACTCTTTCTTTATGTAAATAGGGCTCCACAGCTCCATCAGCAACAGCGGTGCCAAATCCATTATAATAAATGCACCATCCCATTTCCCAGAGTTCCAGCTTTACACTCTGTATTTAGTCCATCTCTCCAGGAACTGGTGAAGCAGACTCCTAGTTTGTGTTTTAAAAACGCTAGTGACAATATGAAGAAATATAAAGACAAGATATTAACATCTGTATGTATTTCCTTGCCTCGCTTCTGTCGCCTCTTTCGGAAGGACAGCCTTCTGAGGACATTATGAGTCTCCTTCAGAAGCATGTGAGCTCTGAATCATGGAATGTGTACACACCGTATGTGTACAGCTTACTCTTCCATGTAGATTTATTCTTTGTAGCAGAGTTGAACAGGAAAGTAGGGAAATTAAACAGGCTAAGTTCAGTGTTGCTTTGACTGGATTACTAACGATATTTCAGATAGGATTTTTTAAAGGCAGCTTGGATATGAGTATTGCAATTGCTTGTGTAATTGAAGTGGAAAGCTATCTTAAGACACATCAATATAAACACCTTTATTGGTGCCTTATTTTTATTGGGCTCTGATGAAGTTGTGTTACTTCCCCTTGCTGACACATGTTGCTAGTCTGGTGCTTTTTTTTATCTCTTGAAGGGAGCCCTTGGGGTTTACTAGCTATCCCCAGTGTGAGACAAACAGCAGAAACATGACAGAACAAGGGTACTCCAGGTGCTTCAGTGGCAGTGAGGCTCATAGTGAATTCAGTAGCCCAGCCAGAATCTCTGAAGTTGTGCTTTTTTCCACCTTGTCCCGAGAGATTTACGCAGAAAAATTCTAAACCACAGCAGCCTCTTTCTAATCAGTTACCTGTGCAGTTAATGAACGTGATGCATAATTTAAAAAACTAAGCCTTGCGAGGATGACAGATCGAACGTTCTATTTCTTACCTAGCCAGGGTTCTGAACTCGCTTTGCAGGGAAGAGAACTTGCTAATCATTTCAAGACTGAAGGAACTCCAGTTATGATTGGTGAGTACTAGAGTATCACAGAATGCCAGTCGGTGTTCAAGGCCTTCCTCTGGTGAACTTCATTTCAATTAGTACTCAGAGTACCAAAAGTACTCCATTGGTATTAGTAGTTTACAAGAGCTAATCAAAACCCCCAGTGAATTAAAATAACGCTCTTCTCCAGGGAGCCTAGAAAACCATGCAATTTAGTCTGCCTGGTATCTTTTTCATTCAATATTTCCCTCAACAAAAATCAATCTGAATGGTGTTCTCAAAGGCTGATTTAAAGTCAGAACTTGAGAGAAGCTGACTTCTTTAGAAGTTCCATCTCGGTAGATGGGCAATTGATCATGCAGTTCCCCAGAATTTCCCTCCTCAGAAGAGTAGTGTTTACCTGGCTTTAAGGAGAGAAGTATCATTCTTTATCCAAATTCATCATAGGACCAGTATGCGTATTTAAATGATCTAAAATGTTGGTGTCATTGCAAATATCATTCATAAGAACATCTTAATTTTAATGAGAGTATTTCAAGAAAACCAGTAGTAAAAAAAATGAAAAATAGTTTTATTTATTACTACTACTTTTATTTCCAACTTGTGTATTTAGACAGTCTCAGTGGAAAAAAATGAACAATTTGTTTTCCTCCTGTGTTAGGTGGAGGTGTTTTGGCTCACACAATACTAGGAGTGGCGTGGAATGAAATAACAGGGCATATAAAATATTTGATTCTAGACCCACATTACACTGGAGGAGAAGACCTGCATGTTATTTTGGAAAAGGTGAGACTTCATGTAGGTGTGTACACACACACATCTATGAATGCATATGTTATTATATAATGCATGGTCAATTAGAAATTGGCCATTCTGTAAGTTCTCCATAGAGAATTGGGTTCCCATGGAAAGTGCAGATCCCAGTTAATCTGCATACATGTTAGCTATTGTTAGTTTCTGAAATGTAGTGGTCCTGGAGACAATGTATTGGGTCACTAACTGTGTAGAATTATTGCAGCACAAACAAATGTTCTCTGTCAGAGTATGTCTGTCCCTCCTTTGCATTGGAAACGCCTCATTTAATGACCTCCTATTCTGTAAACTTAAAAGCTTGGCTGGACTGATTTAGTAAATCATGATCAACAGCACACCTTGAATTAAGAGCTCAGTTTGGCTCTGATCAGTTTCTAAGGAAGGCAGAAGTTCTTCAAGAGAAGAGAAATTAGAACTGTGAGAATGACAGTGTTTCAGAACAGCATTAGTCTCTGCAGCAGCAGAAGGCAGTGGGATATAGAAAGAAGAGATGCTGCTTTTATTAAGATAGATCTTAATTTAACAATGGGTATGAAAGACAGAACTCATAGCAGATTTAAATTGTGTCTTTTCTTTTTCTTGGCCAGGGCTGGTGTGGTTGGAAGGGCCCGGACTTCTGGAGCAAGGATGCCTATTATAACCTGTGCCTACCTCAACGACCAAAAACTATTTAAATCCCGGTCTTATGCAAGAACATGCTTAGCCAGAGTACTAGCAGGCCTAGAATAGCTGTCTTTTTAGTTAGCAGGCTAATATTTTCAATTGATCAAAACCCAGCTGAAATGGAAATGTTACATATATAATTTAAATCAAGACATTTGTGGGTTTTTTTTTTTTAATGAAACCTCAAAGAATAAGAGAGTTTTCTGCTGTGAATGCATTTTTTTTTACTAATTATTAAGTAACTACTACTCTTTCCTTCCTTTTGGCTAAGATAACTTTGTTTATATAACAATTTTATTATGCTTAAAAGCTTTAGAAGTTAAATCTCTGATCCTGTTATTTTATGAAATTCTTTCCTGCTGAAAAAAATTGTACTCTTACCTTTCATTTTCTGTAGAGCCAGGTGGATTTCACAGTATGAGTCTATTCAAAGCCATTCATTGCGCTCACTGTTGATAATGGTATTTTAGATGAGGATTAAGGAAAACAAATAATTCTATATGAACTGAATTTTATGAACTTTTGCTCTCATTTTCACAGGAAAAGTATGAGAGACTTAATTATTATATGCTTATTTGTTTATAGCTGTATGAATACAAACATTGTAGGAAAAAGCAAAACAGTGGTCTTCTGTTAGAAGTGAAAATAAATGAGCTTTCCTTCTCCTCAGAAGGAGAGAATGTGACAGCAGCACACATCAAGCCATTCCATTCATTGTCCAGTCAAATTCTATCGGCCCTTGGATTCCCATTAATTTGACTTTGGGATTACAAGGCATTTCTTTTGTCAGCCAGGAGACCAAGACCTGTGGTATGAACAAACAAATGTTCTACTGTCATCAGTGCAGTAGGATACATTCGTGATACAAGTAAAACTGCCATCTTTGTTAGCTTCTCCATCTGACAATCTCTGAGAATAACATGGAAAAAAAAATGTGGGGAGCCTTCTGAGTGCCATTCTACACAATACTCATTTTTGGCAGCAGCATAATCTTCAGTATGTATGTATCTGCTGACAGCTTATGCAACATCAAATTTATTTATGTAACTGCTAAAATGGTGTTGGTTTTTTTGTTGTTGTTGTTTTTAAGTTACTACAGAGGAGTTTTTTCACTCAGAAGAGGGTGATGACACACTGGAACAGGTTGCCCAAGGAGGTTGTGGATGCCCCATCTCTGGATGCATTCAAGGCCAGGCTGGATGTGGCTCTGGGCAGCCTGGTCTGGTGGTTGGCGACCCTGCATACAGCAGGGGGTTGAAAATTGATGATCTCTGTGGTTCTTTTCAACCCAGGCCATTCTATGATTCTGTGATTCTATGACTTGAACACACAGCATGCGGTGTGTGTAACTGCAGCATGCAGGAGTACAGCGGTTTGTACCATGAGTACGCGCTGTGTATTTACAGCCTTAGCAGCCACACTGAAGCGGAAAAAATGCTCTGTAAATCACACATTCTCAGCAGGTTAACACTGACATGGCTAAATAGAGCTGAACTACCCAACTTCGGCACCGCCAGGCTCAAGGAGAGCGAGGCGTTGTAAGGTGCCAGATTTCGTTCTGTATGAGTCGGCATTCTTCGAGGCAAAGCTAAACACACCAGCCAGCCCCACTCCCTTCCAACGTCGGGCCCGCGAGCAGCACCGCCCCGCCTTCCCCCGTAGGGCGCCCGGGGCGGGCAGTAACGGCGCCCGGGGCGGGGCGGGCCGCCATGGAAGTGCGCAGCGAGGCTGCCTGCCTGCCGTCGGGTACGGGGTCGGGCAGGTTCCTTCGCGGAAGGCCTGGGGCGGCTGCGTCTGTCCCCATGCCCTTCCTTCGCCGTGCGCCATCGTGCAGGCACCCGTGTCATGTGTAGCACTGTTTCGTCTTCCTTTTGTTTTAGTTTGCTTACTGTCCCCTTCTTCTGGGGAAAAAAACGAAACCAAAAACGTGTGCTTATTTCTGAGCAGGGGACGACAGCCATGCTGCCTCGCTGGCAAGGAGAGCAGAAGATGGAGATCCCTGGACGTGCTTTCTAAGAGGACAGCGGTACTATGAAGAGGTTGGGGTTTTCCTTTTTTAAAAGTCAGATATTAAATGACTCCATTCAGTTTTAGTGGTAAATGACACCATAAAAAACAACAGATGCCCGTGCCTGTTTTTTCCCATGGAGATCACCAGATGTTCCCACTCTTGCACAGCTGCCTCCCAAGCTGAATCTTGGCCAGCTGAGTGTCCGAACAGCACCCGCTGTGCTCTGTGTTGTGGGGCAGTGGACTCGGTTCTGCCAGCAGTGCAGGAAGGGGCATCGGTTAGGCAGGCTAGGTTAGCAGGCAGCGGGAGCAGGTGGGCATCTTCCTCGTGTTCTGTGCAGGTGCTTCATGCTTTCATTATTGCCTTTGACAAGAGTAAAAGTGGCACCAAGGAGGGCAGGCTTGTCTGTTTCTTGAGCTGGCATAGATGTCCATGTTACAAACTGTCGTCCACCCTTCAGTTTTCTGCTCAAGCAGGTTTCCATTTCTGTATTTTAGAGCATACATCTGTATTGCCTAAAAATGCATGCTCTCATAGCACTGCAGATGTTAGAAAAAAACAGCACCCTATCAGAGCCCCATGATACGCCTCACTCACAGCACTGAGTTCAGAGGAAAAGTGAGAGTACAAATGCTGCCACACTTCATTATCTGACACATCATCTGGCTGTAAGTAGGCACTGTTTTCCCCTTTCAGAGGAGTGGACTGTATGAACATTGGGCACTTCTTCATTGTGAAGTGTCTTGCTGTCCTGCAGCTGCTCACTTCTAAGCTTTGGCAGTCTGGTGTTGTTTTACCAAACCATACAAGATATACTTGGTTTTATTTAGTATTTTTCTATGCCTACATAACAATGTTTTAGTAAGAGCACCAGTTTGTCAGTTAGCTCTTACATTGCAATTGTTTTATTGTGTACTTCTAAATACATTTTCTTCTTCAATCCATTGCAGGAGAAATGCTCTTTGAGATTTTTTCTAACAAGTGCAAGCAGGTGGAGAAACCAAGTTTATTCAATAAACCTAGTGAATCCTATTATATTCTTACCCTGTCACAATGGCAGAACATGTGAGGTCATTGCGGAAGGCAGAATGGGGTGAGCGAGTTGTGGGTGAGGTGATAAGACAGACTGCAGAATCCTTGGGCTTATATTGTCCTGCACATACCTTGTTTTTAGTATGTATGTTGGAGAAAAAAACAACACTGAAGACAGAAAACAAACCCATAAAGTAGTAAAGGCAAAAGACTAAATTTGAAGGGCGGAAGCAGTGGTTTGAACTGTATGCCCTTCCCCTCTCCTGGATGAGTTCCATGTCAAGACATTGTGGTCCACTGAAGTTTACCATCGAGTGGAGCTCTCTTGAGTCTGGTGCATGTTTATTCTCAGCACCTGTTTCTCCTGCATTTGCATATCACTACTTATATTTTGGTGTTTGTTTTTTTTGTACACACACCTGAAAACGATAAAACCTTAGATGGAACTGCTTCCATCATTTCCCAGTGTTCTTGTAGTTGCTAACTCACTCCATTTTCTGCCACTTCAGTGGTTGCATTTTGTTTTGTTCTTTTTTGTGAGTGAAATGCTCCAGTCTGAAAATCGGCATGAGATCTACTGAAGAGGTAAGCTGTACTCCTCATTTGGTGTACTGTATCTTCATCCTTCTTTCCCAGGGGAGGTATGAAGAAGCATTCGTACAATTTGAAAAAAACAAGGACACAGATTTTCAGGCACTGTATCAGCTTGGTGTAATGCATTATGATGGACTAGGCACTAATAAGGACCCTGTGAGTAATCTAGTTTTACTTTTTACTTTTCTTCTAATAGCAATTTTTAATTACTAAAAAGTTCTTTATAAACTTGATAGTTTAAGATAAATAAGTCATTGATTTAGAAATAGTTTCATAAGGTACAGATGCTCACAATCATCATCAAAGGAGGCATCTGGGCTGTAGAAATTTTCAAAACCAGGTACAATGAAACAGGCTTATTTGAAAAATACACATGGTGATTTTTGTTTTAAAGTACCACTTCTAAGACTTTGTACTCTGTATGGAAGCAATGTCGCTTGTTTAAAAATTGTTATTAATTTGTTAATATTTAACAAGCAGCGTAGATAAAAATGGAATCTGTAAAAATAGAAATCAGACAACTGTATTTCCAGGTGTAAGGCATTGCCATATCCCAAAATTAGCTCCTTAAACCATCAAGGCACTTTAAAGACTTCTGTTGTTACCATGTTAGGCACAGAGAAAGTCATGCTCTGTGAAAATGTTAGATTTCGTGTAGAAGCACATCTGTTTGTTTGACTTGCAAATAGCCAGCATCTTTTGCTAAGTGGTGCAGCACTTCTGGTGTTCTGGAAGTAAGGCAAGAAGAGAGAAGAAGTTACAGTGTCCAAGTGGAATCATAAAATGGCTTGAGTTGGGAGGGATCCCAAGGACCAAGCTGCAGCCCACCTGCCACAGGCAGGGCCGCCAACCTCCAGATCTGGTCCTAGACCAGGCTGCCCAGGGCCCCATCCAACCTGTTTTTGATCACCTCCAGTAATCTTTGAGGGTGCAGTAGAAAATAAAGATTTATGTATATTAGAGAATAATAGCCATTTAAAAGCAGCATTTGTTAGAATAGTTATAAGACAATTCAATTTAGACAAAAATATAATCGTTTTCAAAAAATTGCAAATGTGGAAGGTATTTAGGTCAATGAGATGTCAGAATCTCACTGATAGCCACTCTGTCCACACACATTTAAGAGAGGCTTTACAGTTGAAATGTAATGATTTTAACACCTCAATTGTAGGAAAAGGGAGTGGAATACATGAAGAAAATACTCTACTCTGATTCCCCAGAGGCAAAACACTTAAGGTTTGCAGCTGCGTACAATCTTGGCAGAGCACATTATGAAGGATATGGTGTTAAGCATTCAACTGAAGAGGCTGAAAGGTGATTGCAGACAGTAATTTTTCTGGTGAGTTGAAGACGCTGAGATACTGCTACTGAACTTTCTTTGTCTGTTTTCTTAGGTTGTGGCTTATTGCTGCAGACCATGGGAATCCAAAAGCAAGTGTGAAGGCCCAGAGTACTTTAGGAATGCTTTATTCCATGCCAGATCTAAAAGATCTGAAGAAGGTAAAGCCCACTTGCACCCTTTACAAATTTCACGAGTCCCAACTAATTTTGGATTTCACAGAAAGATTGTGGCAGTATATCTGACTCTTTAAAACTGTATTCTAAGCAATCCTAGACATTGTCATTCATTTAAGCCCATACAAGGAGATGGTCAGTACCTCTCCCTTTGGACTGGCTTGACACTGCTTGCTGAGATTTCTTTTTAGTAGGAATATCAGAGAGAAAGATAGAGTGGAGTAAAATTTTGGCAGCCTTAATGCCCTTCAAAAATGAAGCAGGTGTTTCTGGCTGACAGCTCTCAGTAATTGATGCAGGTTTAAAAGCCTTCTGGAGACTCTGCTTTCTTTTACATATAAGCACTTCTTACTGACTGGTTGATATAAAGGGTTTTAATGAAACGGTATGCAAGACAACCAGTTGAAGTGAATACATCATTGCATCAGAAGCTAATTAGATAATGCAAAGCATTTGTTGAGATAAACAGGAAACAACTTTGTGCCTCTTGCTTAGGCCTTTTTCTGGCACTCAGAAGCATGTGGCAACGGAAGCCTGGAATCACAGGGTGCACTTGGTGTTATGTATCTCTATGGACAAGGTATACGTCGGAACAGTAAGGCTGCTCTGAAGTGCTTGAAAGCAGCAGCAGAAAGAGGAAACATCTATGCTCAAGGCCACCTTGTGGAATATTATTACAGTAGAAGATTCTTCTCAACAGCTGCTGCCATAGCCAAAAGGTTAACTTTGATTTATTTCTCATTGTTTTCATATAAGATGATGGACCTTACTTTACTACTTACCTTTACTACTTAAATGAAAGGGGTTATTAAGTTCATAAACTTGTATTAAGATCAGGAGACATTTGAGATAATGAATTGCAAGACCTCATTTATAAGGGGGAATAGCAGACCACTGCCAAAATTAAGTCAGTAGGGTTCTGTTATTCAGAACAGATGAACTTTTCTTCCTGATGCTGTGAAGCAAACCAGTCTTGAATTAGTCTCAGGTAGAGCCCTGTCTTCCTGTCTTCTGGTCCACAGTCTGGGCCGGGCTCCTATTTTAAACCCCTAGAAGTGTTCTGTTCTCCTTAGCCTCCATTTTCATGTCATTTCTGCCCTGCTATCTTTTGCCTTGTCACTGGTTGGGAACCCACAGTAATCCCTCTGAGCAGCACAGCCTGGGACCTAGAGGTGGCTGCTGCAAGTGCCAAGATGCCAAGCCACCGCACTTTAGCTTTGCATCTTTGCATCGCTTGCTGCTTATTGGGATGCATATTGCATATGCACTTTTTGAGCCTGAACCACACAATAGTCATCATCTGCATGCAAGTGGTTTCTGTAATTACTTGACCCCTGTATATGCCACTGCATAGCAGCAGCTCTGGCAATTCAGCAGTAGTTCAGCAGTGAGTACTGTTTGCTCTGCTCATTGCTGAATGGTCTTCTCAGAGAAAGCCGCTTTGTTTTCTGCTTGTGCTGATGGCTGTTCAGTCTGGGCTAGCTGGTCTTTTGGAACGTGTGCCTTCCAGGCAGTTGACTTCAATTGTGGCTCACAATAGCATTATCTAACGCTTAAATCCTACAACAGGACTACAGAAAATGACAACATCGAGATGCTAGCAACGATGACTGATTGTCTCCCTGCATATGCAGCCAAAGGGGTTGCTATAGCTGCCTTCTACCTGGCTAGGTGCCTCCATCTTGGCCGAGGCACAGAGAAAGATGAAGCTGCTGCTAAAAAATACTATTCTAAGGTAAGCTGGTCAGGTGCTGGAATGGACTGCCCAGGAAGATGGTGGAGTTACCATGCCTAGAGGTGTTCAAGGAACATTTTGGCAATACTGGCAATAGGTGAACGCTTGGACTGGATGATCAGAGAGATCTTTTCCAACCTTGATGGTTCTATGACTCTAAAGCCTTGCAGCCTAACTTATATCTCCTGAGATTGAGTGATGCCTTGGATTTGAGTCTTTAAACTTGCTGTTTTGTTTTATTAAAGGCTCTAACTTAAATAATATTTTTAAATACTCTGCAAGAAAATGAAGAGTAATAAAATTATATTGAAAACCACTTCATAGCTTTGAAGGATACTGTGTGCCCACTTGCTTCAACAAACAAGTCATACTGTCAAACAGAAAATGCCATGGAAGTCAGCACAAAGCTTAGTAAGTTGGAAGATGGAACTCCCTAAATTATTCAAGTAATTTTATCATTTTTATTACATTTTTATTGATCGAGGAGCTACTAACACTGATACATAGGGGAAAAAACAGATCACATTTCCTAAGTAAGTGCTGATGTTGAAGGAAGATTTACCGCCTGAGAAAGAAGACTAATAATACCTTCTGAAAACTAAATTACATTAGTGATGCCTAAAAGTAAAGGCAAGATGATGATGCTAACTGGAGGGAGCGTAGAAGCAGTCCTGCTAAGATGCTCTGTGATTTCTGCATACAGAGATCATTTGTTTCTGCAAGTAAAATACTTCAGGGCCCAACTGAGTGCAGTCCAAATAAATGAAGAGTTATTTATGCAAATGTTAAGCTAGCAGCTGGCAACTTCTGTGGCTCCTTACTCATGGCAGCCACTGATAGAAAAGGCTTAGCAGAGCAGGCAAGCATTCAGCTGAATTCATAATTTAAAACATTTTAGTTTTTTTTGCTGTGAAAAACCTGTCAGAGGATAGGTTGAGATCAGGAAGGAAACACAAGGTTGGCTGCTGTGAACACTTTCCCCAGTTGTCATAGATAAGAAGGTGTGGAAAAAGCACATCAGCGTTCCATTACTGCATGGTGTAACGTGGGTGTGATCCTTCCCCCTTGTCTTCTGCCTAGTCTAGCATTACAGGCAGAAGATTACAGCTTTCACTCACCATTCACTAGCAACGTATATGCTACTGATAAGTAAGCATCACTAACTGCTCAGTATAAAAATAAATTCTATCTGTTGATTGGTGCCATGCATCTCTACATCTACAGTCCTAGAGAAGGGACAGGCCACATAAAGGAGTCAAAGTAAAAGGGCAATTGTAAAACCGGAAGACTGGAGTTGTGGGTATGTTCAGTTTCTTTTGTACCTGAAAAATAATTGTTGTTAATCATTGTTATATTCAACTAAACTGAAAATAGTGGGGTTTCTTTTGTTCTTAATAACTGCACAGCTGCAGTTTTTGGCCTACTGTTTTTTTTACCAGCTTTGAAACAGACGTATATGATGGAACTGAACGAAAATGACCAGTCTGTAAGCAGATTTAGGGTGCTGGTGGTGGTGCCAGCCGAACCAATGGTATTAAAAAAAATGAAACTAAGGCTAACAATTGGAGTTGAGCATGCTCATTTTCAAGTACTGAATTTTTCTGATGTGAAATACAAAAATTTACAGCCTTACTAGTGTTGTATTGGCAGTGTACAATTTTTTTTTGGCTACAAGCTAGTACTTCATGTTCTTTGTTTTCAAAGGCTTGCCTTCTGGATCCTGATGTTGCTTCTGAACTTGAACTGAAAGCTAATCTTGGAAGAATTTAAGTGTTTCCTTCAGTTCTGGCAGGTATTAGACAAACTTCCTATAATAAGTCATTTTTAATATTCAATTACAGGCTGTTCACTTAGTGCTTGAATTTCTAATTCATATAACTTATAAGAGATTTACTGAGATATTTAAAAAAAAAGCAAAAAGCTCACACATAACTGAGATATATGGCAAAGGCAGACTTTTAAAATGGTACTGAAGACAAGTTCTGATAAGGACACAGTACTGCTATACAGCATATAAGTCAAACTGAACCAAATTAAAAGAATGGTATGCTTTTTGCATTTTTAGTATTTCAGAGAAATACTTGAAAACCTTGAACCCAAACTTGCCTAGTTTTCACATACAGCCCATCCACAGCTCATGACTTTGTGCTGAATTCCATTTTTGAATCTTAGCTTTGCTAGTGACATGTATACTTTCTTTTTTGTGCTTTTTTAAACTCATCTACATCTACTGAACCATCCTAACATGTTTTACCCATGGACCAGAGAGATTCCAATTCAGAAGGTGGTCTCTATGTAAACTTTTTGTCAGTTTACATGCCAATTTTTACTACTAGTGAATTCTACTTACAGAAACACAGAAGAAAAGGCATCAGTCTGGAAGCATGTCTCTAGGCCACACTAGGCCCATTTTTTCTATCCTTCTTCATAATGTGATTATGCTACCTCTGTATTAGAAACAGCTAGAAGACCTTTTGGTTAAGAGTGTTGTATGTCTGAATAGCATTATACTGAATCTTTTATCACATGGTACCTCTGGGAAGTTTTACAGATGGCTGTGGTAAGCCTGCACATTTTATAAATACCTGTTTACTTGTAAAGCTTGGCATGTGCAGGAAAGCTTGCTTCTTAGGGCTGTGCTGTCACTTGAGAACTGTTCAGCTCTGTGGCAAAAGGAGGTGAGATGTTAGTAAAAACACTGATTTCACTACAGCAGATGGGTTTTAGTGGTCAGTCTTGTTTTTCAAAGAGCATGGTTACACTGAATTTGAAATAAAGTAATGAATGGCAGCTGGAGCTTTTTGATGTTTAATTGTTTAGATGAGCTTTAAGACCATATTTACACATTTTTTACATAAATTAAAAAAAAAAACACCGAAGATGTTTCATTTTTCTTTCCTTTGTATAAAATAAGGGCAAGTTCTGAAGGTTGTCTGAAACTGAGTAAAAGAGCCCTGAGTAATATCAGGGAAGCTATTGGAATAGTGTAATTAAATGTCTACTTACTCATTCACAGAAGCACTAATCTCTGACCCTGTGTTTAGCACAGGCATTCTGGTTGGAGATACCAGATTAAAATGTGTATTTTGTACACAGACTCCAGTAAGTCTGTAAAACATAAATACTCCGTATGAAACTAGCACTGTCAAACTCATTCAGTAGTTGTTAGTACAGCCTAATCATCAAATACTGAAATTGAATTTTGTTATTTATTGCTTACAAGTGCTTCAAACTACAGGAAATCTTTGGTAAAAACAAAATTGATAAAATTTTCACAATAGCTTTACATGTAATATTGCACAACAAGGCTTTTTCAATGCACAAGAAAAAAGGAATGCTCAAATCCTCAGCGAGGAGATTAGAACTGTACAACATTCATTAGTTTACCACTATAAGCAAAACTTCTTTTCATAAATGTTTAAAATAGTTTCTGGTTTCTTTGAGCTTATATGAACATTTATTTTTCAATCTATATTTGAAACAGAAGAGTAGTCAAATAGAACAATTTAAATAAAAATTGGCAACTATACAACATTGTTTTGTCTACCCTACTACAGCATCAGATCTTTTCAAGTATGTTTACTTCACAAAAAAAAAAAATCTCAAGAGGAAAAAGAAAAACCCTAAAAATAATCATAGTCCTCAGCCCTCTATGGAAAAGAGGAAAATAAGTTTAATGTCTATTATTGGACATAGACATTTCTCTAGTGGTCCACTTGTGCAGATTCAAACCTAAGTGGCATTAAGCTGCTCTAAATGAGCTCGTAGCTCAGGACACAGTTCAGTTAGCAGCAGTTCCAGCAAAACCTGAAAAACAGAGAAGATATGAGGTTGAATACAGATGCCAAATTAGCGTTTCTTTTAACCTTTCTGATCTATTCAGAACATCACAGGTAACAGCAGCATACAAGGTCCTTCCGCTCATCTTCCATGCAACTGCTCTTCTGAAAGCCTCGGATTCTCCAAGCAATGCAGTGAGCGTCTGCTTCTTCTCAGCTATAATAAATCAGTGTGTAACTTATGGGCGGCTCGGATGTGTGGAGATTCTCATAGACAAAAACAGTACTGTATTTTAAACAGCTTTTTGTTACTCAGAATGATTCGGATGATGAAGTGAGTATGTTTTTTCTGACTTTGTTCAAGAACAAAAAAAGTTACTTGCAGAGATTAGTACCATACTACCATTATGTGTGCAAAACCACACACCCTGGGCTTTAATTCTGAGTGGAACTCAGCAATTAAGAAGATTCTAAAACTAAAAGCCCACTTTTCTGGTTACTCACATAGAGTAGATGCTTGTTGGCCTTTCTTTCTTGCAGTGCATTGAACACTTTCACTACACCATGGCGGGCATTTTGCTGTCCAACGAGGCTCTGCAGAGTATCTGCAACAAACATGACTTCAGCGTACAGCTTCACTCCTGTTAGGCAGTGTGCAACCAACACTACCACCCAAAAATACATAAGGCTGGAAAATGAAATGCTGCCCTTCATGGTAGATAGTTAGATGTATAGACGCCATCCTCCAGCCTTTTAAAAACACGTAGGTAACTCAGGTCACTGGTTGGAAAGTAACCCTTCACTCTCAAGTCAGCTGAGTCAAATAATAGTTTATGCATCTTGGTGACAATATTCTTTAAGTCTTTTAATGCAATATGTAGTCATCACACAGTCATGTCTAATGGCCAACATTATTAATCCATTCACTGAAATATACTTTCAGACACAAAGAATTCCTTCAGCAGTTAAGATTTACTCTCCACCTTCCCAGAAATACTTCTCAGAAGCAAGCAGATGAGGGAAGTCTATGTCTATCATCTACATTTTGGATTAAATTACAGTGCAGAATAAATCCAGTGCTTCGTCTTTAATTTCAGGTAAATTCAGATATACCCTGAAGCATCACTTCTAATTGAAAAACAAATAAGAAAACCCAAACCTGTTCTAGGACAGCGCCCCAGAAGCATGCACACTCAAGGGGAAGCTGCCTCACTTGGTGGTTGATTAAAGGGCATTAAATGAAAGCGCTGCAAACCCCATTCTGCCTGGGGTGCTTCTGTCCAGGCTGCAGGTCCTTCCATATTCAATGCCCTGAAACCTCTTCTCAGAAATGCACAGCATCACACAACAATGACAACATGGGTAGATAGAGCAAGTGGCAGTGGCTGTGGTGCCACTCTTCCTGTATGTCAAGTAGTTCCAGGCAGCAGAACCACCTCCTGTTTGCTCTCTGGGATATAGCAGAGAGTACCCAGACTTCACTTAGCTTTCTTAATGAGTATTATGTACAAACTCCAGCAATACTGGACCTTCTATCCTCTGGTACTACCCTAGCCTGTGCCATTTACCAGACAAAGATGGGAGAAGCAAAGAATAAGGCCAAAATTACACTTATTTATGCAAATAAGCATGACTTACAGCTCCAAAGGAAAAATCTAAAATGCAGCAGAACAGGACCTGATTAACTGGTTTCCTTACTAGTTATTAGATATGGGATTAAGCAGAATGGAGGTGTTCTCACCTGGAATGTTTTCAAGTAGTTTTTGCTGTGCTCGCTGTTTGGTCTCTTGCCTTTGTTCATCACTCTTGGCAGTTGGTGGTGGTGCTAGTCTTCCATTTGGCCAAAAAGCATCTCGAAACACGCCAATATAGTAAACAAGCATTGCTTCACTGAACATCCAGTGTACAGTGTCACGGATTTGCCTGTAAAAAAGCATGGAAGTGAGCACATCACATCTTATTCAAATCTGTTTTTTTCCCCTACTAAAAAAAACAATGGAAGCAATGCTTATCTTCATGTAACTATCTCAATTTACCGATGCCATTTGCACCAGCATTACAGCACGCTGTACTGAGCAGCTGTGCTCTAAAATGGAGATCACTGAAGATAATCTGACTGAGATATACAGAAGGCTGCACTTCAGTGTAGCCTGCAAATACATATTCCACAAAGTGCTTCACAGAGCCAGGTCATTCAGAAAAACAGAGCAGCAGCTTATCTCAAATGCAAGGCTGCTTCATTGAGAAGTCTGTTAGGGTTCCAGTCTCCCCATTTCTTTCAAAAGTAAAGCCCTGTGTAGGGGAAAAAGTCCTGGGTAAATGAGCTGAAAGATAAGCCACATCTGTGGCTTCTCTACTCAACCTACCTGTAAACTGAGCTATGGAAAACAAATGGAGATTGTCGTATACAACAAAGTGTCCAGATTATTATTACTGTTACTCTCAACAATTCTTCTCAGTCTTTCCCCTGTGGAACAATGTTGCAGGTTCAATTCAAGTAACAGGCACTTACTTGTTGATGGTTCTTCCAAAAGTGACTTGTACTAGTGCAATTAATGTTTTTCTCACCCACTTAAACACTGGAATGATGAAAGAGGACAGGAAATGAAGGTCATGGAATTACTAACATTACAGAATCCATAATCACATCCCCCTAAAAACCACAAACCAAAAAACCCACCCCTGCATTAAATGTTAATTAATGGTACGTGAGTCTTTTTCTTGTTTTCCCTGTGCAGTTTGCAGTATAATTTTGAAGTCCTGCAGATGACAGAAACACATCTGCATTATGCTTTTGCCATTGATACCATAAGCTTTAATGTTCAAGAATATCTGAAGTGCACTGAACCATGAAACTGCCCAACCACTTTTTGTGCTAGAAGAAAAGGAAGACTTTCTGTACCCTACAACTACAATGCTGTATAAGCAGCAGCAGCACTGCAATTCCAAAAGCATTCTCACTCATACAGTTAACTTTCCATTGCCAATTAAAGGAACAAATGCAAGTGCTTCCTAGTAATTAGAGTCTAATACTTCTTTCATGCTGTTCACCACCATTAGAAGAAAAGCCTATATTTGGAATGTACATCTGTTATTTTTGGAAGGGGCTGCATTTTGTAATAATTACCTTGTACCTAATTTTATAAAGTGTCAAGTGTGGCTCCACATTCAAATAGAACCAAAAATAGTTTTTATCACTCAGTTACATAAAGAAGGGAAAAATCTGGTAGGAAAAGGTGCCACAGTTACAGCATCTTTGCCATTATACAAAGCGTAGAACTGAAATGCATCCATAATGCACTTGAAATGGACATTAAAACCACATTGCTTCATTGGTGGCACATCCTGCAATGGAGTTGTCTTTCCTTCCTCATAAATTGTATGTTGGAATCTGCAGCCCACATACAGATAATGTGCTGTTGTACTTCCCTATTTTCCCCAAACTCATTTTCTTTAATGAAAAAGCATATTCCCTCCCTTGCCAGTGACATTTTTACTGCAGTGTTACACTGCAATAGCACTTTCATTCTGAAGTTTTAAAGTTAGGACTGTTGCAAAACAGCTCCTTGCCAGATTAGCTGGCTACAGAGGTTTCAAGAATATTTCAATTTCTTGAAATAGAAATGTGAATTACAAGGCACCCCAGATTTCTTGGCCAACAGGTTCCACAAGCAAATAAGCAGGTTTGCAGCTTACTTCCTCGCAGCTCAAAAATCTCCCCAATCAGCATGAAACACGGCTCAGCAATAGAGTCCCTTTTTCCATCCACCTCTTCCCCATAGTCCGACAGGTCACTGTCCTCTTCAATTTCTTCCTAAGAACAGAGGGACAATGTAGGCATGGAGTGACATTTCTTCAATACTGCTTTTTTTTTTTTTTCCTCTCTTCTCATCTTCTGGTCCAGAAAACCTCCTTCATGACTTAATTTCTCTTAATTTGTTTTCATTCTTTGCCTAACAGTGATGGACTTTCAATTGCCTATCACCCAATCCCTACCTGCACATGGGGCTGGAACTGGATGATGTTCAAGGTCCCTTCCAACCCTCTTATTCTGTGATTTTAAAGTCCTATCCTACAGTGTTCCAGCTGTACACCAAAACATCTTACACCTTCTTCCCATCCTCCAAACCCCACCTTTGCAATGCCCAGCATTGCAAAGCAGCAATAACTCACTGTGTAAATGCAGGAAACGAAAATATTGATACTGATAATAGTACAGGAGAAAGATCCCAGGGCCACGCTGCTGTGCAAAAGGCAAGCATAACAGCATGATATGTAGGCAGGAATGCTGTCCATCAGACAGTTGTGAGCATAAGTAAAGGAGATTTTCATACATAGGAATATGAGAACTCAGTGGGTGCAACGTGTTTCAAAATCAGTCATATTTCCAAGAATGATCCTCACCCAAATATGGAGATTTTCTCTAAAGAAAGGGACTAGGCTGCTCTCAGTTTGCTGCAGACAGGACAAGAGCTGGTTGAATACAGTGAGATTTGGGTTAGATGGTAAGAACAGGCTTATAACCAAGGAGTGACACACTGTCCTGCATGACTGCAGAGCATCCATTGCTCACTGGAGGTTTAAATACACCACAGATAAAGACCTGACAGTAATTTTGCTGATACAGCTGGGCCTACTCAGAGCAGAAGGGCAAATCCAATGACTCCTCTGTGGTCCCCATACTATTTTTCTGCTCAAGTGAATCCTCCCCCCATTTAGAAAATGCAGTAAGTAACTCTTACACTGTAAGGGTGCGTTTTGTATCTCCATTAATAGTTCATGAACCCCCAAACCTCTCTCTAGGTACTATCAGTTGTACTTTTCCTCTTATTTAATTCCATTCCAAATTTAGCCCCCCATTTAAGGAACCCCAGGTATCTGAGATCTGAAATTGTTGCAATATGTAATCCTGAAAGCAGCACTCAAGAGGTTAATATTGTTGCTCCTGCACATATCTGAATAACATGAGACAAGATGTAAAGTTATAAGAGAGCATGCTCTTCAACAGAGTTCAAAATATAGAATAAAACACAACACGATCAAATAATGTAATACACACGTGATCTGGTTGTGTTTTTTGAGGATGTTTTTCTATTAATTAGTGCACTACTAACAGCTTTGTTTTTTTGCTACTTCCACCTATTAGTCAGTATGGTGAGTATGAACTATTTTCCATCTTTAGAACAGAAGTACTTCCGTCAAAATGTAAAACAAGCATCTCAAACTTTATATTAATTCCTCTGAAATAATACAATGTATTCATTGCCCAGGTGTGAATGCAGTGCAATTTTGGAAACATTCAGGATTTTCTTATTCGTGACAGTAGCAAGACCACTTTTTTGTCTATTCACAGGCCAGCTCCATACAAGTTTCCCTAACTCCACTTAGCCTTGAAGAGGCCCATTCACTGCAGAAAACTACAGCATGTAGCAAAATAATTGTTTCACAAAACATACAACTGGTGATGGAAGCAGTTCCCTGGAGGTCCTGTATCTATAACCCCAACAACACATGACAGAGCGCCATGGAATTTTAGTTTTAGTCAGTGAGCTATTTTAGTCATTCATCTTTTCTCTGTTGTGTTTTCAAAGACGAGAGTATTTATGCCTTAGTATCAAATATGCCAACCTGTTTGGCCACATGGGCTACCATCCGCATACACAAATTCCCTCTGTGAGCCTGTACCACCATTTGCAGACATTCTTCATCAAAACCAGCTTTGCTCCATAAATTGTTGCTGCCAAGAGAAGTCTCTTAAGAGAAAAACTCCCTAAAACATGCACGTCTAAAGCATAGAAGGCAGGAATACTAATAAAAAATAAACAATCCCACACAGACTGCATTTCATTCATTTGTGATAGGTCCCACAGTTACCTATATATATATGTATATCTGTGTGTCAGAGGACAGGAAATTTATTAAAAATACCTTATAATTTTATATAATTTATATATAATATAAAATACCTTATATTTATATAAATATAAAGGCGGGTCTTCTCTCCGAATCTTTGTTCGCTAAAGGTAAATTAAAAATGACCTTTCAAAAACGCCTTCCAATACTACCTGCCATTCAAATGTATTACAATAATGGCTCTGTCTGCTTACTCTGGCTAAGTAATTAAATCTAGGAAGATAACTCACCACCTGATGAGAAAACCAGTCACAGGGAAGTCGCTCTAAAAACGATGAGAGTGAAAAAGATGACTTTTTCCCTTGCACATCAATCACTTTGAGGTGTTCTGGAGAAGGGCTCAAGAAGGCATAAAGTGCTTCACTTTGACAGAGCCTTTCATCAGAGAGCAATTTCTGTGAAAGGAATACAGAGACAGAAACAACACATTAACTATTTCTTTGTAAGGAACAAAGTGCATCAGGCCAGCTAATGAAACTTAATGATTAAGATAGCTCAAAAGTAGAATCAGAAAAAATAATCTGTCTGACAGAAGCTTGGCTATGATGATCTTATTTTAAGAAGCTTGGCAAGCCTTTAATCTGACAATTTCATTTCTAAAAACATGAAGTTCTAATTTGTAAGAAATTAGTTTTTAGGTGTTGTAGTTAAAAATGACAATTCTAGGACTCGCTATTAATTACTTCTTAGCTAGTCAACAGTCAAATTAACTTACCTCTAGAGGACTGGCTCCTATCAGCCAAACTCATCTCAACTTCATGCATTTTAGATGACTCTCACACTTAGCAATGCCAGTCCTCCCATTTGAGCTGTTTTGCTCTATGCTCTCCTT